TCTTTGTAGAGATGGGGTCTTGCTATGTTGCCCAGGCTGGAGTGCAGTGGTGTGAACATGGCTCACTGCAGCCTCAAACCCCTGGGCTCAAGCAATCTTCCCACCTCAGCCCCCCGAGTAGCTATGTCTACAGGTATGTCCCATCACGCCTGGCTAACTTTTTTTAAAAATAGAGGCAGGGTCTCACTATGTTGCCCAGGCTGGTCTCAAACTCCTGGCTTCAAGTGATTCTCCTGCACTGGCCTCCCGCAGTGCTGGGATTACAAGTGTAAGCCACTGAGCCCGGCCTCCCCAGCTTTAAATGGGGACAGTGGCAGGCCAGTCCCACTCCAGGTATGGTCCAGCCTCGGGGTCTGTGCTGAGGCCGGTGCCCTGCCTGCTTCACTCTCTCCTTTGGGTCCGCACCTGGTCACCTCCTGCGCTCCAGGCTTCAGTCTGAACACTGCCTCCCCGCCGAGCCTCCCCCGACGACTGCAGGACCAGGCTGGGTCCAAGTTCAATGCTCCAGTTTTGGTTCCTCTTATCCTGGCTATTTGTGGAGGCTGTGTTTTGTTTCTCCTTTCTCTTTTTGAGACAGGGTCTGGCTTTGTCACCCAGGCTGGGGGACAGTGGTGTGATCACGGCTCTCTGCAGTCTCAACCTGCCAAGTTCCAGTGATCTTCCCACCTTAGCCCCCCCAAGTAGCTGGGACTACAGGTGTGCACGACCACACCCAGCTACATTTTTTTTTCAAACGTAGGCTTGGTTTGTCAGCCTGATCTCAGCTCACTGCAACCTCCACCTCCTGGGTTCAAGCGATTCTCCTGCCTCAGTCTCCCGAGTAGCTAGGAGTACAGGCATGCGCCACTACACTTGGCTAATTTTGTGTTTTTAGTGAAGAGGGGGTTTCACCATGTTGGCCAGACGGGTCTTGAACTCCCGGCCTCAAGTGATCCACCCGCCTCGGCCTCCCAAAGTGCTGGGATTCCAGGCGTGAGCCGCGGCGCCTGGCCTCCATCTGGCCTTCCCAGCCTTGCCTTCCTCTTCCCATCCCGGCTTACCCTCCAGGGGGTCCTTGGCCAGGCCCAGTTGCCCGATGATGTACTGTGGAAGGTCAGTCTTGATGCCTTGGCCCTCCCGAGCATGGCCCTCGGCCGCCTCCAGCAGGTGGTAAAACTCCTCCGGGTCAAACTCCTAGGGGCACAGGAGAGCTGGTCACCCAGGGCTTGGTTCCACCTGCAGGCCTTTGCACATGCTGTTCCCTCTGCCTGGAGCACCCTTCCCGGCAGTTGCTGCTCACCCACTGGGTCTCCGCTCCCGACCCCTCGTCGGGGAAGCCCATGCTAGCCCGGCAGCACCCCCCATGCCCCTCAAAGCCCTCCACGATGGGAACTGTCACTTGTATCTCGGCAGGACTGTCACGGGCCCAGTCTCAGTTCTGCCCGGACCCCACACTGGCCGTACAAAAAGAAACTCACCAGACACTCCAGCAGCCGAGCCGGCCGTGAGATGATGATCAGCAGTTTCCGGACAAGCTGGACGATGAAACTGACCTCCTCACTGTCTGAGCGCTCGTGGGCCTGGGGGAGGTGGGTCGTGGCGTCAAGCCCTCAGCTCCGTCTGGCCTGGGGTCCCCCCTTGCCCCACATCTCACTACCCGCAAAAACCCCAACACGCCAAAAACCACCCACATCCTGCAGAAGCCGCTCCAGCTTGTCCTGCATCTCTAGGAAGTAGCGGGAGGTGACAAGGTTCTCGCCAGACTTGGCCAGGCAGTCTCGGGCCAGCTCGACGATCTGGTGGTGGATGAAGCCCAGGACGCCATCAGCCAGCGCCAGCCGGGCGCCGGGCGCGTAGGCCGTCAGGAACTCCTGCAGACGGCCCTCCATCTGCGCTGTGGCCTGGGTGGGGTGAGACGGGGCAACCTGGTCAGAGGGCGGGGCTGGAGTGACACACACGGAAGGGGCAGGAGGGGCACGGCTGGGGAGAGAGGAGATGGGGCGATGGGGGCGATGGGATGGGAGGGCTGGGGCAGGAGGAATGACATCTTTCAGTGGAAGGGGAGGGGAAGATGGGCATGAACGCAAGGGGGGCACAGCCAGGAAGACAGAGTGCCACGGAGAGACAGCAACGTGGAGAGAAGCACGGGGCTGGTCAGGCCGCCAGGCATTGCCCACCTTGGGGAACCTCTCCCGGTACACGTGATTCATCATGACGATCTCATTGTCGAAGGTCCCTGTCGCGCGGCCCGGGCTGAAAGGAAGATGGCTGCTTGTGATATGGGACCTGAGACCAACCCCCGGGGGAGGCTGTAGGGGGGCTCTGAGCCAGGGCCGAGGGACAAGAGTCAGAGGCGAGGCGCAGGTAGGGTCAGGGCCGGGATGGAGGACGAGCCACTACTCGGGCCTCCAAGCCAGCCCAGGGAGAGGCCGGGCCTGGGGCCAGGGGTCAGAACCCACCTGAGACTGCGGGAGCGGGGGCGGAGGCGGGGTGACCGGCCGCCTTCCTCATCAAGCACATTCTCTGAGCTGCGGAAGTGCTTGGACAGGAAATGCAGCTCGTCCGGCGTCGGCTGGAAGGGAAGCTGGTGGAGACGTTCCCGGGAGGATGAGCTTGACTAGCAGGGAGCAGTGGGGATCAGAGCCATGAGTTCACTGTCAGTGCTTCGACTGGGACCCCAGCACCACCCCTCAAGGCCCAGGCTGCCTGCTGGCCAACAGATGGTAACATTCTTTCTCCTGCCTAGCTCCTATGCATCCCTCAAAACCCCACCTCTGATGCCTCCTCCTCCAGGAAGCCCTCCCTGCCTATACCCCTGGGCAGCCCCAAGTTCCCCTCTGGCCAAGCCCTTATGCCATAGGCTGGGGATATCTGTATCCCCCTGACTGGAGGCTATTTTGGGGCCAAGGCTGGGTCTTCTCAGGGGCCCCTGCATTTCCCAAAATGAGGCATGGAGGAAGTAGCTAGCATGTTTGCTGACTGTACAACTATCCAACACCTTGAAAAAAACCCCACAAGGATGTGTCCCCCCACGACCCGGCATCTGCCTGTCCGCCCGCCAAGCTGGGGCTATGGGTACCGAGAGGGTGGAGCTGGGTGTGTTGGTTCCATAGCCGGAAGATGGGAGGGACGCGAGGGACCATCTTCTGCCGTCTGCCCTGGAGAGGGGAACAAGAACATATCGAAGGAAGGCCCGGCCCCTGTGGTTTGCAGGGACCAACAGCAGACACTGTGGCCAGCATATTCTGGCCCTGTTGTAGGAAGGACTTCTTGAAAAACAGCAAGAACATAGACACAGCCTGACCAAGTCCACGGTACGCTCTCTCTCTTCAGGCACCTGTTCCGGGAAGCCCCCCGGGACTTCAGCTGCCACTGTGTCCCTTTGTCAAAGCTTCAACCTCTGACTTGTAGCTTCTGGGGCACACACTGGCTGCCCCCACCAAACAGAGGACTCCCCAGGGGCCAAGGGCAGGCCACCCATTTGCCACCATGCCCTCAGCCCCTAGCACAGAGCAAGCACACAGCAGGAGCTTAACGAATGTTGTTGTATGAATACATGAAATGCAAGCCTCTTGCCACATGACAGGTGCTCAATCAGCTCTTGTTAAGTGAATGAATGAATGATTTCTTTAGGGAGTTAATGATTCTTAGATGGGGCTATATCCCCCCACGACCCCCCACCCCCTGGGCTGGTTGAAATTACCTGTCCGTGCGTGGGACGTGGCTGCAAAATGTCATGCATGGTAGGGATGGGAGCCAGAGGGGGAGACCACCACCAGACGGGCCAGGGAGGGGAAAAGGTGAATGAAATGAATGAGGAGCCAGGTCTAGCCACCGAGCATGTACCCCTGCCCACCCCCTACCCGTGATGCCCGCGCTGTCTCCCAAAGGCGGCAATCACTCACCTCCGGGCAAAGGGGAAGTTGAGGGCAGAGGCAGCCGAGAAGTTCCGAGGACTATCCAAGGGGCTGCTGCCTGCTGAGGAGGAGGCGGGGAAACTGAGTCAGCGGGGCAGAGGCAGGACACAGCGTCCGCTGGCTGCTCCCACACTCACCCGTTGGGACCGACAGTGGCGACAGGGGCCGGGAGAGTGTCGGGGAGGGCGTTCCTACCACCAAGCTCTTGCGGTTCCCACTGCGGCAGCTGTGGGGGGAGAAGGGGACAGGCTCAGGGGGCTGCCCAGGTCCCTGTGCTAAGAGGACCACGTGCCAAGCCTAAATCACACAGGCAGCCCCCTCTGGAGCAGGATAGGACGTTGGACGTGACCACGCCCACTCTGCCCCCAGCTGGGTTCCGCCATGGCCCTTAGCCAGGTCCGGCAGGGAGTCACCCCTTGATTAACATTCCTTGCTATTGAAGCTGGCCAGGCATGGTGGCTCATGCCTGTAATCCCAGTGCTTTGCGAGGCCAAGGTGGGAGGATCCTCTGAAGCCAGGAGTTCAAGACCAGCCTGGGCAACAAGCAAGACCCCATCTCTATACAAAATTTAAAAATTAGCTGGGCGAGGTGGTACACACTTGTAGTTCCAGCTGCTCAGGAGGTCGAGGCAAGAGGATCCCTTGAGCCCCAGGAGGTCGAGGCTGCAGCGAGCCATGATCATGCCACTGCACTCCAGCCTAGGTGACAGAACAAGACCCCGTCTCTTAAAAAAACAAAAACAAGCCTGGGCATGGTGGCTCACACCTATAATCCCAGCACTTTGGGAGGCCGAGGAGGGTGGATCACCTGAGGTCGGGAGTTTCAGACCAGCCTGACCAACATGGAGAAACCCCATCTCTACTAAAAATACAAAAGTAGCCAGGTGTGGTGGTGCATGCCTGTAATCCCAGCTACTTGGGAGGCTGAGGAAGGAGAATCGCTTGAACCCAGGAGGCAGAGATTGCAGTGAGCTGAGATCGTGCCACTGCACTCCAGCCTGGGTGACACGAGTGAAACTCCGTCTCAAAAACAAAAACAAAAACAAACTATCGGCAGTGTTGTTGTTAACAGCAAGGGCACGAGGGGCCTCTCACCTGACAGTGGACACTCCATATGGCCAGGAGCCCCTGCCCGTTTTTCAGGGTTCTGTGTTACAGTCCCAACCCACAGCACCGGCAAATCGAGGGGGCCACACCCTGGAGCCCAGAGATGAGCTGAGACACCCCATTCTACCCACCCCTCCTGAAGCCTCTGCCCTCATCTCGACAACCCTCCTTTTTCCCAAGATGCCCCTACAATGCCAATGCGACCCAACTAAAACCCTAAGTGCCACCTCGTGCACAGCCCACATGTTTTCCTCCTTCCATCCCGGTTCCCGTCTGGCCACCAGACCCCTGGCCCGGGTCTTTCACACTCACGCCCTGCCTGGCCTCTTTTCCCACCTGGGCCCTGGCCCCAGCCCACACCTTGACAGAAGGAAGCTGGGAGCGACACCGTCCCCCGCCCCAGCAGAGCAGTCACCCAGCAACAGCTCTGCTCGACAAGAGCATCAGCCCACACACCCCAAGCTGCCAACGCAGCTCAGCGGCGGGAGAACCTCACAGGGAGGGAGAGAGGTGCACCTCCGCGCCTCCGAGGTACAGAAATGGGGGTCCCCGGCAGAATGCAGGTCAAGCCATGGGAGAATCAGCGTGCGATCATCAAGGAACACAGGTGACAAGGTGGGCAGGGAGAAGAGGCCCAGCCTGTCTATGTCTCCACCTATGGCTGTGCCTTGAGCCTCAGTTTCCCCATCTCTGTACCTTGAAGGATGAAACCTACATGCAGTGCTCAGCTTTGGGCTGGACTTGGGTGCATATGTGGCTGTCTCTGCCTGGCCATGGCTCACAGGGCCTGACTCACGCCAGGAGTGCAGGCAGTGCCTCCTGAGTGAATTCCATCCCCAACATGTACCAATCCCAACAAGCCCCAGAGTTGCGAGAGACTGGCTGGGCCCATTTCCCCGACTGGGAAACTGAGGCCACAGATGTCAACAGCCACAGTGATGGTCTCCCAGCCTGAGCTGCAGAAGCAAAAGTGAAACCCGCAGGCTCCTGCAAAACTTCCTGCCAACCCCTCAGTGCACGCTTACCTGCCTGTCTCCACATCCTCTCCCAGGCCTCACCTGGGTCCTCGCCCCCACACTGCACCGCCAGCACCCTCCCTCTCCCATCCTGCTCTATCACTTGCCGCTTCCAGAAGCATCTGGGAAAAACACTGAGTCGCCCTCCCTCCTGTTCTAGGGTGAGGTCTTCTTGAAAACACAGCCAAATGTGAGGCCTCAAAGGAGAACCAGGATCATCAGTTCACTTGCCAGGCATCTATGCGGGGCCGACTCTTTGCTCAACTCTTGTTGCCATTTGAGAACCATCTTCTCTTGATGCCCAGGACACAACAGACAGAATGTGGCAGACAGCAGGGGCTTGAAGCCAGCCAGCCTACTGTCCCTCATCCCTCTAGCACCCATATCCCCCCTCCAATGCTCCCCATGATCTTGGAGGGAAGTTTAAGCCCTGGACACAGCATTCAAGGTCTTTCAGTAGCTGGTCTCGCTGCCCAGACTTTGCCCCAGTCCAGCACCAATAAGAAACCCAAGCACAGAGAGGTTAAGGAGCTACCTGAGGTCACACAGCCTGGTAGTGGCTGGGTGGAAATCTGAACCCAGGTCCGGCAGAATCCACAGCCCTCACTTAGCCTCTCTGCTTTTCAAAAGCGGAAACTGAGACTCTAAGAGAGGTGAGGCTTTGGTGGGGGTTAACCCCAGCTATCTGGACTCCTGACACCCCACTCACATGCCAGCCTCGTGCAGTAAATATTTGCTTCTGAGCCAACATTTCTGCTGAATGGGCCCCCAGGGAAAGATCAGCCTGTTTTTCCAAGAAGTTCCTCCCAGGTTCTGCCCGGCCCTGGACACCCGGTTCGAATCTTAGCTCAGTCGCAACTCACTCCTGTCTCTCTCGCCACCCCAGCTGCGTCGCTGGTAGACAGACACCCCAGTTCAAGGAATGAGGGGCGAGAGGAGGGTGCCAGGGACCCCAGGGGACACCTCGATCCACAGGCGTCCTCTCCCCTTCCCACTGCTGCCACACACAGACGCTCGCCGGGGCCCCCGCCACGCGGCCAGGACACACTTCTGGCAGCTCCTGTTTGCTCGGCCAGCCGCCGAGCCTTCGGCAGCGCCGTGCCCCCTACCTCTTGGAGCGCTGCAGCAGCGCGCCCTTGGCCAGGCGGCTGCGATGGCCGGGAGCCGCCACCGCCGTCCAGTAGCTGGGGTCGGACATGCTGCTTCCCTTTGTGCCGCCGCCGCCGCCCGAGGCCGGGAAGGCGCGGGGGCGCAGCCGGCGGCGGCGGGGCGCGAACCTCGGCGGCGGGATCGGCCCCGGGAGCCCCGCGGAGCCAGGCAGGGTTGGGGGCGCGCTGGGCTGCGGGGTTAGGGGGGCGGCGAGAAGGAAGCGCGCGCCCCCGAGCGCGGACGGGAACTCCGCCCAGGCGAGTGCGGGGGCGGGGCCTGCTGGGGGCGGGGCCTGACGGGAGGCGGAGCGAGCGACGCGGAAGCGAGGCCGGCGGACCCCGAGCGGGCGAGTGGGCGGGGCGCTGCCAGGGCCGCGGGCGGAGAGGCGGAGCGTTGCTAGGGCCGCGGGCGGCAGAGGCGGGGCGTTGCTACGACCGCGGGCGGCGGGGGCGGGGCGTTGGCAGCTTTTGAGCCAGGGACAAGGCTTTTGGCTCCTTTCTGCCAACATGTTAATCTAATCACTCCCTCCCTCCTTTTCCTCTCTCCCGGGGCACTGACCCCTTCTCAGTGCGGCTCCCAAGACCCACCCAGCGTCCTGGCCCGGCTCATGCTACCACGCCCACCCTGATCCCACTACTGGGAATCTAGCTTGGCAAGACAGCGTCCCTTCCTCTGAAAAACCCTCTTTCGTGTCTGGCCGGCTCTGTCTTCCCCAGGTTGGGGGGCTCCTTGGGGTCCCAGCAGTTCCCAGCACCGGACTGGCACCCAGGGTGTGTTTGGCAAATTGAGTCGGGGCGTCTGACATGCTCAGCCTCTGTGTGGCGGGAAAGGCCATCAGCCCTGCCTCAGTCAGGAATCGGCCCCCTGATTCAATTGCAGCCTGTCTGAACTGTGAAAAGGGAGGAAAACTGGGCTGACATGAGGATTACACAAATCAGATGCAAGCGGGCACTTCCAAGGGCAGCTGGTACATGCCCTATATCTGTATATCATTTGTCTCTATAATCGATAGCATCAGGCTAACTTCCAGGCCTCTATTTCCCCATGTACAACATCCCCCATGCTGAAAACAGAATAAACTCTGAGACACAGAGCCTGGTACTGGGCTGAGGACACAATATGTGTTCACTGTGGAAGCCACTATGGAAGCAGAAGTGTCTCCCAAAGTAAGCACTGAATGAATGCTTCCTCCTGTCATGACAGTCCAGGGACGTCACAGGCAGTGTCATCAAGAGGGATGCCCCTTCCTGGACCACAGGACACTTTGGGACCCAGTCCAGACCCAATACTGGAGCCCAGGCTTCATAGCTAAAGAGATGATTTTTTTTTGAGACAGAATTTTGCTCTTGTTGCCCAGGCTGCAGTGCAATGGCGTAGTTTCAGCTCACTGCAGCCTCCGCCTCTAGGGTTCAAGCGATACCCCTGCCTCAGCCTCGCAAGTAGCTGGGATTACAGGTATGAGCCAGCACGCCCAGCTTTCATCTGGCCTTTCCCAGCCTTGGTTTAAAACCAGCCTGGGTGAGGCCAAGTGTGGCGGTTCACACCTGTAATCCCAGCACAGGGATTGGGAGGCTGAAGCAGGTGGTTCGCCTGAGGCCAGGAGTTCAAGACCAGCCTGGGCAATGTGGCAAAACCCTGACTCTACTAAAAATACAAAAAATTAACCAGCCATGGTGGTGGGCGCCTGTAATCCCAGCTACTCGGGAGACTGAGGCAGGATGTTGCGGTGAGCCGAGATCATGCCACTGTACTCTACCCTGGGTGACAGGGCGAGACTCCATCTCAGAAAAACAAACAAACAGACAAACAAACAAAAAACACAACTGAGGAAACAGATAGCATGTTGCCACCTGGTGTGTACCCCTAACCCCATCCATTCTTCTTCTCAAAGCTTTCCCAGACTCCCTGCCATATCCATCACCTGGTGTCCCTGACACCCGGTGCCACCACCAGGCACCCCTGACCTAGTGTGTATCTCTCTAGGAAGGCCCCCAGGTTGCCCAGACCCAGGGCTCAAACACCCATATCTGGCATTCATTCACTCAACAAACACTTACTGATCACATACTATATGCCCACCCCAGTTCTGAACTCTGGAGACCCCGTAGGGATCAGGCCCATAAAACCCCTGTCCTCAGGGGCCCACCTAGTCCGGTGGGGGAGGCAGAGAGTAAACAGGATACCATTTTTTTTTTGTTTTTTTTTTGAGTGTTGTCACTGCACTGAGCCAACAGGAAGCAATTCAATGAGCAAGGTAATTTCGGCCAGACGCCGTGGCTCGCGCCTGTAATCCCAGCACTTTGGGAGGCCAAGGTGGGCGGATCACCTGAGGTCAGGAGTTCAAGACCAGCCTGGCCGACATGGTGAACTCGCCATCTCTAATAAAAATACAAAGTTAGCCCGGCGTGGTGGCTCCCATCTGTAATCCCAGCTACTTGGGAAGCTGAGACAAGAGAATTGCTTGAACCTGGGAGGCAGAGTTTGCATTAAGCCGAGATCGAGCCACTGCACTCCAGCCTGGGCAACAAGAGCAAAACTCTGTCTCAATAAATAAATAAATAAAATAAAAAATAAATAAAAGGCTGGTCACAGTGGCCTGTAATCCCAGCACTTTCAGAGGCTGAGACGGGCAGATCATCTGAGGTTAGGAGTTCAAGACCAGCCTGGCCAACATGGTGAAACCCCATCTCTACGAAAAATACAAAAATTAGCCAGGCGTGGTGGCGCGCGCCTATAATCCCAGCTACTCGGGAGGCTGAGGCAGGAGGAACGCTTGAAGCCGGGAGGCGGAGGTTGCAGTGAGCTGAGACTGTGCCATTGCACAACAGCCTGGGGGACAAGAACAAGACTCCGTCTCAAAAATAAATAAACAAATAAAACAATAAAAATAAATAAATTAAAAAATTTAAGAAACAGCTGGGCACGGTGGAGCATGCCTGTATTCCCAGCTACTCAGGTGGCTGAGGCAGGGGAATCACTTGTACCCGGGAGACAGGGGTTGCAGTGGGCTGAGATCACGCCATTGCACTCCAGCCTGGGTGACAGAGTGAGACGCTATCTCAAAAAAAAAAAAAAAGATAATTTCAAACACCAAGGCCGAGAAGGGAAGAGAAAGGAGGGAACGTTGCAAAGGGTGACGTTAGCTGGCGGGCCTTTCAGAGGAGGGTACACTGCAGCCAGCCAGGCATGGAGGAGGGAGCTGTCCATGCAGAAAGCGGGTCCCGGGCAAAGGGCACGGCTCTCTGAGGCAGCACTGACGGCAAGATGCCAGCGGGGGTGACCACAGAAGCCTTGTGGGCTGCAGGGAGGAGTGCGATTTTCTTGTGGGAGCACCGAGGAGCCATGGAGGGCGCCTGAGCAGAGCAGGGGTGTGATCCAGACTGTTTGTAAACGCCCTCGTGTCTGCTCTGGGGATCATGCTGTTGGGGGCAGGAATGAAGGCAGTGGGAGGCCCGTAAGGGGCTGGGACAGTGTCTGGGAGGGGGACATTGAAGCTATGGAGAAGTGGCTGGATTGGGGACTTCTTTGGAGACCAGGGGAAAGGCGGGGTCAGAGATGGTCACGAGGCTCCAAATGGTCACCTGTGATTCCCAGGTATGCAGCTCAAGCCTCATTTGGGGAACAGATTCGCCGCAGTCTGGGGACCCAAGTGGGGATGGGGCCACCGTCTCCACTTGCTGTCACTACGTGCTGAGCCACCCCATATGCATGGGACACACCTTTGCACACACTCAGTAAAGGCGCTGGCCCCTCGTCCCCAGCCACAGCTACACCCAATAACACCTACACAGCCCCTATTACATGTGCCCACTGCCCTGACATCTATAGCAGGGAGAGACCTTCTCCCATGCTCATTTGGCCTCAGTTTCTCCCTCTGCAAAACAGGGCTGTAGCTGACAATCCAGAGAGCCTGCTGCCACAGCGAAGGCCTTCCATGAAAGTGGCTGAGCCACTGAAATCTGGTGTCAGCCCACTGCTCCCCAGATCCTGCCCTTCCCCCTGCTCACACACCCTCCATGGCTCCCTATTGCTCTTATAGCAAAACTGCATTCCTGCCGGGTGCGGTGGCTCATGCCTGTAATCCCAGCACTTTGGGAGGCCATGGCGGGTGGATCACAAGGTCAAGAGATCGAGACCATCCTGATCAACATGGTGAAATCCCGTTTCTACTAAAAATACAAAAATTAGCCAGGTGTGGTGACGTGCACCTGTAGTCCCAGCTACTTGGGAGGCTGAGGCAGGAGAATCGCTTGAACCCGGGAGGCGGAGGTTGTGGTGAGCCGAGATCATGCCACGACAGAGTGAGACTCCATCTCATCAAACAAACCAAACCAAACCGCATTCCTGGGCGAATCCTTCTCCCAAGAGCTCAGATCCTAGCCCTGTCCCTGACAAACTCTGTGACGTTCGCATTTGACTCTCCCTGCCTGTGCTGTGACATCTGCTGTCTCAGGTAGATGTCCAGACACCCCCGCCCCTTTTTAGTCTGGCTACCCCAGCACTTCCCACCTGCCCACACATCTTCCTCACCCCTCCCAGCCCCACACTCTCTACGGCTTCCAGTATTCTAGGTAGAAAATCCATCTTCTTCCTGCCTTTGGCATTTGAGGCTCCAGAAGGAATGTGCCTCTGTTCCAGGCAGGAACAGCCACTTTGTCTATGAGAGCCCAACTCGGCTGGGCGCGGAGGCTCACGCCTGTAATCCCAGCACTTGGGGAGGCCGAGGCGGGCAGATCACCTGAGGTTGGGAGTTCGAGACCAACCTGACCAACATGGAGAAACCCTGTCTCTACTAAAATTATAAAATAAGCCGGCTGAGGCAGGAGAATCACTTGAACCTGGGAGGCAGAGGTGTTGGTGAGCCAAGATCACACCATGGCACTCCAGCCTGGGCAACAAGAGCAAAAATCCATCTCAAAAAAAAAAAAAAAAAAAAAGCCCAACTCATGGCCCCACTGCCACCACCACCACGACCACCACGAGAGCCCTCCCAGATACTGCCCATTCATCTAAGCCACATGCATTAACTGAGCACCTGCTGTATACACCCTGGGTCTGCCCTGAAGCTACAACATGACCAGGCAGATCAGATCTGGTCCCAGACAGGCTGTCAAACCTCTGGATAAGAAAAGTAACAGGATAATCACACAAGACAATGTGGAAATCAAGCCTCTGGGGCTGGCTGGGTGCTGTGGCTCACGTCTATAACCCCAGCACTTTGGGAGGCCGAGGCAGGAGGATCGCTTGAGGTCAGGAGTCCGAGACCAGCCCGGCCAACATGGCGAAACCCTGCCTCCACTAAAAATACAAAAATTAGCCAGGCACAGTGGTGGGCACCCATAATTCCAGCTACTCAGGAGGCTGAGGCAGGAGAATCACTTGAACCAGGAGGCGGAGGTTACAGTGAAACGACGTATCGTGCTACTGCACTCCAGCCTGGGCAGCAGAGTGAGACTGTCTCATTAAAAAAAAAAAAAAAAAAATTCCTGGGGTCTGGATGGGGATATGGACAGGTATAAGGCATGTTCTTTGTTTGTTTTTTTGCGACAGAGTTTCACTCTGTCACCCAGGCTGGAGTGCAGTGGCGTGATCTCGGCTCACTGCAACCTCCGCCTCCCAGGTTTAAGCGATTCTCCAGCCTCAGCCTCCTGAGTAGCTGGGGCTACAGGAGCCTGTCACCACGCTAATTTTTTTTTGTATTTTAGTAGAGACAGCATTTCACCGTGTTAGCCAGCATGGTCTCGATCTCCTGACCTGGTGATCTGCCCGCCTCGGCCTCCCAAAGCGCTGGGATTACAGGGGTGAGCTACCACGCCCAGCCTGTATAATACATGTTATACCCCATGTTTGTGGGAACTGGAAGGGGGGGGGGTGGGGAAGACTTCCTATCTGAAGCTGAGGCCTTGATGAGGATGTGACGGAAGAAGAAAGGAGGGAATTGTCCGGGCAGTGGGGACAGCAAGGGCAAAGGCCCTGGGGTTGCCTGCATTCTGGAGGATCAACCCAGGAAGCCATGTGGCTGAAACTGAGTGAGTAATGGGAGATGAACAGAATGGAGGCAGGGGAGGCAAGACCAGGCGCAGTGGCTCACTCCTGTAATACCAACACCATGGGAGGCCGAGGTGGGCGGATCACCTGAGGTCAGGAGTTCAAAACCAGCCTGGCCGATATGGTGAAACCCCATATATACTTTTTTTTTTTTTTGAGACAAGAAACTGTGGAACATATTTACTAAAAATACAAAAAATTAGCTGGTTGTGGTGGCTGATGCCTGTAATCCCAGCTACTCGGGAGGCTGAGGCAGGAGAATCACTTGAACCCAAGAGGCAGAGGTTCCAGTGAGCTGAGATCACACCACTGC